CTGAAAATACAGATTCTACCTGTTTTGTTTGTTTGCAACGGGACAAACTGTGACAAAGTTTAGAGAATAAATTCCTCAGAAAGGCATCATATATCAGTCACTTATCAAAGAGACACTGTTTAGTTATTTGCCATTCATTACAGATTAAGTAGATTATATCTACATCCTTAAAGCTAATTTAATCTCTCACTCAAAGTGATATTTTAACAAAAGTTGCCTTTCTGAATAGGTTTGAGACCAGGTAACAAAAAGCTAAATGCTTTCCATGCTTCTCTGGTGACCCTCTATAGAAATGTTCATGTTACTGGATCACCGAAGGGCTCCAAAGAGCATGCAGGACACAATTATTTCACCAAATTCATGTAAAAAAATCTTCTGTTTAATGTTATTACAATGAATTCTCTTCCCTAAAGCTAAAATGTGACACAGTCATTTCAAAAACTGGATAAATAAGATATTTTTGTTTTATATTAAACTTAATTTCAATATAAAAGGTCCAATAATAGTTCAAAGATGGCACATTTTCTTAAGATATTTATTGCCTTCCTGTAAAATAATTCTTCAGATTTAAATTTTTTTTTTCCTGTGGGATGGTTCCTTCTGCTCAAGGAGGTGGAATTTCTTCTTCCTTCTAAAGCTGCAAGAACAAAATGGCTTCACTGTTTTCTGACTTGGGGGTTCTCGCTGCTTTTTCTCAAAACTTTGTTTGGGCAGAAGTGTTTTCTTGCAGGGGGTCAGAAACAGTTAAAGGACTGGTCAGGATTTGGATGTGGGTTGTTAAGTAAAGGATTTTTTCCAATATGTTTTCTTGGGGTAGGAAATTTAAATTTTTTAAATAATAATCTCCTTTACTAAGAGAAAAAGAGCCATCAAAGTGAACCTGGCCCTATTTGAAATAAAATTAGCACCATAAACATAATAGGTCGTGCCCCTTTGGAGAAAACAGCAGCCAATAATTCACTGAGTCTTTTGGTTCATTCTCCTTAGCAGAACTTCTCTGGTTCAGCCACATTGGGAGGTTTTTGAGCAGTAAGGTCCTGCTTAAGGAAACGTCTCAAACCCAGAATAACACCAAACCCTTTTTGAGCTCTCTAGCAGTGGGGTGCCGGTGTGCCTTCAGGATTTTCTCTTATGAGCTACTTTTTCTTGAATGCTGTGTTAGCTACATGCTAAATGTGATGAGATGCACAATTTAAATACAATCTAGGACTTTGACATTGATGTTCACAGATGCTCCTTGAGTTATTTTTGCAAGGAAGAACAGGAAGCTAGTAGAGACATCCAACCGTAATCAAAGTAATAAATTGTCCTAAAAGGTTTGTCACATATAAACACTTCTGCAGGGTGCTGTAGTTCATGCTCCAATTCTTTTAGGTTTTCCAGGGAATTACATCATAACCAAAATGTCTAAAATGCACATAGGTAAGTGCAAATAGTTTCTTGTAAAGCATCTAATTTGGTCTGACAGGAGGAATAGCGACTGGCTCTCTGATACGTCTTTCTCCAGAGGTTTGACGGGAGGAGCTCTTTGGTTTTATTGCCTAACACGGTTCTGTGGGTCTCACCCGACCTGTATGACGGGGCGAGACAGGTTAGTCTAAGAGAGTTAAAGCCTCCCTGTGGGAAGACGGAGGGTTTGTTCAGGCTGTTGGCACATCGATGTCTTTCGTGTCAGTGTCTACAGATGCGGGGTGTGGTACCTTCATCAGAATCCAAACACACTCCTGTTCTCAAACGAGCCATCCAACATTCGCACACACAGACTGTAAACTCTTGTCACATTCCTGCTGAGACGCTTCCTCCTCCTCTCCTCATACTTACTGCTGCTGGCCGCGGGGGCCGGCTGGGGGACAGGGGAGGGGGTCTTCTTGGGAGAGCCCCCGTCTGACATGGCAGTGTAAGAGGGGGGCGAGGAGGAAGAGGAAGATGAGGTGGTGGTGGTGGGGGTCTGAGCCTGCTGGTGGTGCTGCTGCTGGTGTAGATGCTGCTGAGAGTGGAAGCTTAACTGGTTCTGGTAGTTGGGGGCGGGGCCAGGTCCTGACTGACCTATCAGAGGGGGGAGGGGGATTGCCTCGCAGTACTGCGGTGTGAGCGGGAGATGCTGAGAGAGAGGAGAGTAGGAATCGTCGGACTGGCCGTTGGAGTGAGGGTGGGGTGGCTGCTGGGGGTACTGAGGGTGGCCCCCAGCAGTGGGAGGGTCAAGGGGAGGGGGCTTCATCCTAGTGCTGACAGGTGGAAGGGGGTGAGCTACTGGGAGGACTGGCTGAGGGGGTAAACCCTGCTTTACAGGCATGGGCATCATTACTGGAGGGGAGGAGGAGGGTTGGGGGCACTGGGAGTACATCTGCTGCATGTGGGAGGCAGACCAGGTGCCATGTTTGGGGGGGAGATGGATTTCTTGTTGCTGCTGCTGTTGCTGAAGGTGGCGGGCCGCTGTGGGAGGGGAGAGGGGGATCTGACGGACCTGTCGGCCCTGGGTGTTCACTCCGGCCTGGACTGGGGAAAAGGCCGAGGCGAGCGAGGTGGACAGCTGAGAGGACAGCTGGGCCTTGTCCCTCCCACCCCCCACCTCCCTCTCCTGGGAGGGAGACACAGAGGAGGGAGGAGAGGAGGAGGAGGCCACGCGGACGTAGGAGGGCGGCAGTGTGCTAGCCCTGAACTGTCTGTACTCGGGAGGAGTGTCTGGGTGGGTGGGAGGGGTGGACACTTTATACTGGAGGGTGGAAACGACTGCGGCGGGCAGAAGGTGGGAAAGGCAGAGAGAGAGAGAGACAGAGAGGAGGAGGAGATGCAGACGAAGGAGGGTAACAAACAAAGGAGAACAGAAAAGAGAAAAACGTGAGAATAATGAAAAGCAACTGAACAGTCAAGCAAGTAAGATGAGAAAAAATCAGGAGCAGTCAAAAAACAGAAGCCAACAGCAAATAAGAAAGAAGCAAAATATCATAATAAAAAAGAACAAGCAGCAGAATGCAACATGACTGAGCCATGATCAGAGAGCATGTGGCATTTCCCCCCACCGGCAGCTGGAAGAACGATGGCGGTACAACATGTTGCAGGGGACGGAGAGGGGGGGGGGGGGACTGATATAACCATTCACATCAGGGACAAAGGGCCATGTTTAAGTCTGTAGGTGAAGTTAAAGAGCAGACTTGAACATTTAACATGTGTAAATGGATTCAAATAAAAACCATAGGGACTTTGGGAAAACTACAGAGGGAAGCCTGTTTTATCCAGGAATTTCTGGTATTCCCTACAGGTGAAGTAATCTGTGTGCTTTGGAAACATAAAGCCAACCTGACCTACTAAAGGAAAAACCAAACAAAGGCGGGTCAACATAAATTCGCTCTCGTCAGGACCGTTTATTGGTAAATGGAGGCCTCTTGGTGAGTGTTTTGTTTTGGATGTTTGTGCACTGGGGATCATGTGACGTGCTGCGTTCAGGCTTCAATGGGCGTGTGTGTGTTTATACTGGGGGGTGTGGGTGTGTTTGCTGGAGCCTCACCTGATCCCGACGTCCGCCGCTCCCTCTCCTTGTGCGCCTGCATCTGATGCTGCTCCATCATCCTATCAAGTGCAAGGATGTCACTGCGTTTGCTCTCAGTAAATCTGCGGTCACTTGACGAGGCCTTAAACCAGGGCATTTCTTTCATGCCGTAGAGCATGAAAGAAATTAGTTTTTCACTTTTTATATAAACTAAAACAACTTCTTCCTATAAACAAAACTCCCAAACCCTTTTTAATCATAATTCTGATCCTTTCAGCCATAATCTTTGCAACTGAGAGTCTCAATCAGGAAACGTTTGCAACACTTCAGCGCCAAAAAAGCAAGTTGGAGATACCAAGACTTAAATGACATTTAATTTCATGTGTGGTTGTTAAAGGGATGAATTATACACCCTATTTTGCCGTCTGTTGCAATAAAAGCTCTTAACGACTTGGAAAAATCATCTGTTCTCTGTCATCTCTGTGCCTGTTGTGTTTGGCTGCAGGTTGCATTCAGAATGAGATGTGTAGGAAACTATAACCTGTCAAAAAAATAAAAAAATAAAAGTGAAAATCCTGCTACACTTGATGGGCCTGTTGGTGTAGACATTTCCTTAGTGCAGCGGGAAGCAACTATGTGCAGAACCTGGAGGTAAAAATGGGTGCAGTTTCAGTAAATCTTTATATTTAGCTTGCGTCTCCTTGAAGGCTCCAAACTGTTCATAAAATAATGAGATTGACGACGCTAAATCAATGCTTGAAAGAAACGGTTGAGCTGCACTGATTGACTACTTGTTCAGGAAGAGATAAATAATTTTATATCTAGATGTCTGTAAAATATTCATCTTAATCAGCTATGAAAACGTATTTAGCCATACCTTTTTTTGTAAAACTAACAGTTTCAGATCATCAGATAAACTTTAATATGAGAGAAACTCAACCGGATTAAATGCTCGAGGCCCTTTTTTGTACAATAGTCTCCTTTATTTAGCAAAAAGAGTTATGCAAACCAATTTGTCTCCACAGAAAAGGAAGTATTACAGCATAAACCTTAAAACTGGTTTTGCCACATTTGGAGGCAGTAACTGTCATGATTGTGATTTCTATTGTTAAAGGAAAGTCTCCATTCAAACTAAACTGATCCTTTTTAAAAGTAAACTACGCAAACTATGCCAAAAGATTCCGGGAAGGAACACTTTCAAGAAATCAAAGAAGATATGAAAAAAACAAAACATTTATCAGCCCTCATTTATGACGCCCAAACATGGTGGTGGGAGTGTAATGGTGAGTAGCTAATGTCCTGTTTCAGGACCCTTATGACCTGCCATAGAATCAATCCAGATTGGGTCTTTGAAGTAGGACAATGATCCAAAGCAAACCAGAGAGTCCAACACAAATAGGCTAAAAACATCTGTGTGGTCTAATCAAAGTAAGTGTAATTGAGATGATCTTTAAAAGCCCATTTATGCTTTCAACCTGTTGGTTTAGGACAAGGAGAGGGACAAAATTCTTCCTTCCAAGTAAAAAAGATTCAATAACTGTTAAAAAAAAAAGTTTAAAAAGCAATCACATTAACTTTGGATGAGTATTTCTCTCTCTGTCAAGACGTTGGTTGTTTAAAAACTTTTTTTTTTATTTCTAAGAATCTTTTTTTGTATGATGTTCTGAAACATTTAATGTGAAAGCTTCTTCATTAAATACCTGACGCATTATGACCTGGCCTCTAACCAGAACCGGCGCGTCACAGAGGCTTACTGAGGTGCTGAAGGACAAACTGTGTGTAGGTCTGCACAACACCAGGAAATAATTTGATACTTCGTTATTCCTGAGAACTGAGAGGACCTTATCAGCCAGATATTTCGCTCTTTTTATTTTAATTCCTATCACGATTCTCCCAGTTTTCTCTGGGACGCTGAAAGGCTTAAGAACCTGAGCTACTACATACTTAGGTGCCAACAGGCTGAACCTCATGTCATTTAAGTTAATGTTCTGCATATTGGGATAATGATACATTGATAAAACTAAGGCTTCTATTATAGATGCTAATAGACATTTAATAGATGTGTTATTTATTAATCTGTAACACTTTATAACTCATTCATGAGTGTTTATAATGATGTTTAAACTGATGGATTTCTTGCCTTAAAGGATCCTGTTTTTCATTTTAATAAGCGTTGCTTATATTCAACATTTCAGAATAAGTCACTACATTGTAAAGTTTATACCATACAAAATATATTGAATATAGATTAAACAGTTATGAATGAGCGATTACGGATTAAATGAAACCATATCTATAAGATATTTATTACCCATCTATAACAGGAGACTTGCTTTAAATTGTTTTGTTTTTTTAACACAAATGTTTTGCAGTTCTAGGTTAGAACACCCAAAGACTTTTTATATTGAGGCAGAGAACAATATTTTAGTTTGAATCTCTCTGATGCATGTGATAGCGTAAGGAAGAAGGGTAAAAATAAAATATTTGTTTCTCCCTTAAGGTTGGTCTTTTTTTGCTATTTCTACATGTCCTCATGAGAATCATACCTCCTCTGTGCTTCGCTTTCTTCTGAGGACGGACCGTTTTGGCGCTGAACTACAGGACCTGAAAAACACAAAAAGATTTTAAAGCTAAAACCAACCTGACAGACTGCAAAATATGATAGATGTAAATCATTGAATTACAATTTTTCTTTCAGTCTGAATTTCATTTTTGATAAAAAAAAAAGCAGAATAATGTAAGAAATCCGCAATCCTGCAGTGGGCTCAAAATGAGTGCTATTGTACAGAAACATCTTTCCAGATAAAAATAAACATTAAAATGATCATGCAAGGTGAAAAACTGTGAACAGAAAGGCAGCCCAAGCACACAGCAGCTGGCATCATGTGAGGCGCATTGATTTAGTGCTGAAGGGGCTCCAAACTGTTTCTTTACAACACTGACGACCACAGGAATTTCAGCCTCAAACCGCTGCAAAGAAAAAACACTGGGATAAACTGAGACCTGGCAACGATAAAGGAGGAAATAACCAGAAAAGGGGGGGAATGGAAAAAAAGGAAAGGGAGCTGGTGCTGAATGTTAGAGGGATGATTGTGTCAAATGACTGGTTCGGTTCTACACACACACCCACACACACACGACTGAAGGGGCTATTAACAGGAAGCATCGGGGGGGCACTTATCACATATCACTGGAATACCAGTCATTAGAACTCTAACACCAAGGGTGGCATCAGGATCCCCCGCAGGGCGATATTTCCGTTCCCTGCGTCTGCAGCTGCAGGCGGGGCGACTGGGATCACAGCGCTGGCAGAGAGAAATCCTCTGGATTTAGCTTCAGGCTCTTACCACTTTCTATTATTTATTCTTCTAATGCTAAACATTAAAGGGGTCATAGAATGCAAAACCGAGTTTACATTGTCATTGATGAATAACGATAGTTCAGTGGGTGAAATGGACGTACAGAGAAGTTCAAACGCCATCGACACCTTCTTTCTCTGCAAATCTCACAATTCTAAAATTCCACCATAAAACAATCCAAACGAAGCACCGAGTTGATGTAAACTCGGGGATGTTGCTTTATTAGGTTCTGGCGTGTACTTTTGGCACGCCCCAAAATTGACATACAGACCAACCCACTGGTTCACTGGCCCAAGGGAGGGGGGGGGTATGAAGTGTTGACTGCTGGGCCGCTGACTGGATCGGACCTCAGCAGAGAGCCATGAGCCGCCCGTCCTCGGGCTCGGTGTGTTTCGACTGCGTGCTGCACTGAAATCGACCAAAATCCCGGACGATTTTGAAATTCCCCCCTGACATTTTTTTTAGGTATGAAAAGTGGGACATGAAAAAGGGAAAAGGAGTGCATCTGGTCACCCTATCATATAAACAATTAGATGTTTCAGTGAGTGAGTGCTTGTTGCCATGATGCGTCTTTGCTCAGCAGCTTCCCTTGTTGTAAACCAACCAATCAGCGCACAGCTCATCGAAATATTCATGAGCATACCATAAAATGAAGAAAACCTGTTGTTTCATTCTAGAGCTTTTAACCAGGCTAGAATTAGGGCTCATAGAACAGCAAATATGCCATTTTCAGCCCAACCAATGTTACACACCCTATTCAGAGACCTTAAAGACCAGCATCAAATACCCTATAGAATCATTCTATGACCCCTTTAAGGAAAAACATGTCTGTTTAAAGTCAGCAAAGTTGATAATTCATCACAACATGATGCTGCCACTACCGTGTTACACAGGTGGGACAATGTGTAACTATTCCTGTTCTGCTTAAGTCTTATATGACCAGAAAAAGTTCTTTACCTGATTTGTGTGTCTTTTTCTGGCTTGTCCCACACTTTAGACAAGGTTAAGTTTTTTTTTTTTTTTTTTTTTTTTTCACACTTTATTCTCATGACTCTTCCTTAAAAACCAATGCAGTGCTATAATGGAGGCACCTGTTCACTAAGTCTCCAGCTCCTTCTCTGATTTGAAATGTCCAGAACTCTGGATATTTTTTAGTAGCCTAAACCCAATTTGATTTTTCTCTTTTGTTATGAGGAGTTATGTCATATAATCCCTGGTATCCTGATGTGATTTGCTCACTCATTTTCTCTAAAGCACTTATACAGCCTCCACAAACAGCTCAATTTATGCTGAGACTATAAGACACAGACACTAGTAACCTGTTAAGAGGCTTCTGAAGGCAGCTGTTTGCACCAGATGTAATGTACCTGTTTCAGGAATATAGACCATTTTTAAAACATTTTTTATTTATTTAAAAAGATGTTAAAACCAATGTGTAATTGCTTAGGTTTGTTTATTATTTGTTTTGGGCTGTAATGTTAAAATGTAGAACAGCTAAAGGGGATAGGAGTGTTTAAAATGGTTCTCTAAATGTTAATGAGGGCCACAGTTTTCGTGCTGTATTTGTGGGATGGTTTATGATGATGAAAACACTGCCATCGCATATAACTTAGAATTTTCTTCCGATACATCATCTCCTTTTATTTCAGACCTCAACAAACTCCCAGAGTGGTTGGTTCATCCTTCAGCAAAAAATCCAAAACGCCAACCAGCTTGCACCTCATTGCACAAGTAATATCCAGTCTTCTAGATTAAACAACAACCTAAACATGTCCAAAATGTTGATATTTTTGACATAAAAATATGAATCCTTAGAGGCGAACATCTTACTAAAGCAGAAACAGAAAAGCTACATAATCCAACACAAAAGAAACATATTTAATGTTTTCTTTTTTGCAGCTTAAAGTTAAATTCCTTTGCCATACTGTCAAGAAGCACCACAAATAAATTGTGGAAAACACTGCTTTACTCAGAAAGGTCCTCTGTTTATGAGAACGCAGTGCTTTACTGTAGCTCCTGCTCCACAGGGGGGTGAAATGAACCTGTGCTCGCACCAATAATCTGCTGGTCAGACTTAAGTTCTGCACATTTTCTACCATTTGTTTTCATGCTAATTACAAAAACTCGTTTATTCAGAGTACATTATGTCTTCTGTTTCAGAGCTATGCTAATTGGAACAATGTCTGCAGGTCTCAGCTAAGAGAAGAACAGAAACAAATTTATTAAATACTAAATAAAAAGAAATAAATAAGAACAACATCTTTACACCTGCAGCATTAAAAACATGTCAGGCATTTTCCTCCCCAACATGAAACTTACTGAGGATGATGACGGCTGAAGAAATGCGTCTGAGGTCACTGGTTGGAATATCAGGAGTCAGCATGCTGCTCTAACCTTCCTAAATCCACAGCCTGCTAGCAACCACTGCTGTCACTGCTGCAGCTTTAACGACAAACAGCTGGAGAGCCATGAATGCGTTTCAATGGATGCAAACAAAGTTGGAAATGCAACCAAGAAAAAAAAAAAAAAAAAAAAGAGCTGCCCCATGAGCATGATGGGGTACGACATTTAGGCTCCATGGGAGATATTTTAGCAACCATCAGGAGGGTCACAAGGATGGGATGGAATGACAGTGCAGTAAAATCCTCCCCCCCCACACACACGCACACACTGAGCACATAAGTAGCTTGTAACCAGAGATGCTCTGAAACCGTCTGGTAACCAAGAGTATAAGTAAGTTTGGCTTAAAATACACTTCAGGATTTTAAAGAAGGTAGTTCACTTCACATTGAATAGACTATATAGTTAGACAGACCATCTGATGCAGGTCAAAATTACTTAAAAAATGCTTTCAATCTTAATAAAAAAAAATGAATGGGTGATCAGTTGTATGAAAACATTTATACAAATCTGTAATGTTTAAAAATACCAAAAAAAAAAAATAAAAAAAAAATATATAATTTCATATATTTATATAAATATACATACAATACATATAAACACCCCACAAGTACAAATAAAACTGTATATTTACATCAAAAGTACATTGATAACGTTGAAAGCACGCCTGCTGTACCTCACATCAGCCAGCAGGGGGCAGTAAGTTAGTATAGCAGAATCTCTCATAATGGCAAATCCAACATTATTATTAAAAGAGCTGGCAACAAATGAAATGTTTTTTTTATTTTTATTATTTCATCATTTCATTTACACAGAGCCACCTGCTCTGGAATACATTTATTCCAGTTTATTTGTTGTGTTTGGATAAATTTTACTCTTTAAAAGAAAATACAACCCCATTTTATGTCATCATATAACTATTTTGGGTCTTGAGCGCCGGATAAATTGCAGTGGCAAGCCGGATCTGATACGTGGGCCTTTAGATTAGCACGTATGGTTTGGTAGTTAAGGTTTCTCACATTCACTGAATGCAGATATTTTCAGTCTAAAATAGAGATGCACTAATTTGATATATTTGTATGTATCCATTTATTGGAAAAAAAAATCTCAATCAGTTGAAAAAGGGCCCAATTTATAGGGGCAGATGTATTCAACCTATTTCTATAATAGATTTGGGTTAAAATTAATTAAAATCCTTTGAATTGTGGGAAAGTTTACCCCTTTATGGGCATCCAATTTTAAATAAAACAGTTAATTTTAATAAATAAGGTTGAATTTCAGGATGGAATTTGTCCTTTTAATACTCTTTAAAATTTACTGTTTTTATCACTTTCCTTTTTACAATTCTATTAATCTCAGGTTTTCCTTTGGGGTATACATGTACACATTAATACATATAATTTTCAAGCGTATCAGTCAAATAAGTAAAACTGAGCTGATATTGACAACCAATATGTACTTCTATTAAATTTCAGTTTTTTTTTAGGAGGTGAGGCGATCGCTCATGTGGTGTTAATTTGATCATGTGACAGTGATGTCACAGCTAAGGATTGGGGGGTTTAACTGGAGCAGAGAAGCAACGTCAGCACTGTGGTCGTTCTTTCATGGTTTTAGAAGGGAAAGGAAATATGGGATAATGGCGATAGCGCCGATATTAATATCAGATATTGGCCTCAGCACAGATTTTTATATCTGCTGATGCATCCCTAGTAGTCCATAATTGATGATGAGACCTAATTTAATATTCTAAAAATTATGTTAAGTTGGAAAGAATATAATGTTATAAATCACAAAATAATTAATACAATTATTTTATACGAATTTCATGTGGAAAAAGCATTTTTAAATGCTATTTTTATTTTCAAACTAGTTATAGCAGTATTTACGTTATGTAATGTATATAGAACAGAACAAGGTAAGTTACTGCATGTTCAGCTGACGTCTAAATGACAGCAGAACCAGCATATCAAAGATAACATGAAAACATCCATCCATCCATTATCAGACACGGTTATCCCTACTGGGGTCAAGAGGGGTGCTGCTGGGCAAGTGGCGGGGTCCACCCTGGACAGGTCGCCATTCTATCACAGGGCAACACAGAGACTAAAAGGACAAACAACCATTCACACACACAATCAGACCTAAGAGGAATATAGAGAAGCCAATTAACCTAACAGTCGTGTTTTTTGACTGGGAGGAAGCTGGAGTACCCGGAGAGAACCCACGCATGCACAGGGAGAACATGAAAACTCCATGCAGAAAGACCCCGTCCTGAGAATTGCCCCAACATGAAAACAATGAAGAACAAAATTAAGTTTTATTTCAATGTTTCACTGGTCGATTTTTTATGCAAGTCTGCTCTTTACTAATGCAGGTGAAGCGGATGTTTTACACAAGTAAAACTAGCAACCATTCATCTTCACTTTACACAAGTAAAAGTACAATGTAGTAAAACTACTACTACTAAAAAAAAAAATTGTTTCAAAAGTTATTCAAGTAAATATAACTACGTCACTGCTGCCTCATCTCTGCTTGTGCCTAAATATTCAAACCTGAAATCTGCAGGTGCAATCACATCTAGAGCCCTAACCGATATATTAAGGGAAGGCAGGTTTATCACCTAAAACACACCAAAAAAATAATAAAAAGATATAAACTTGTGCTTGAAATAAATGATAAAACAAAAGAAAAAGTTTTAAGAAGCAGAATGAAGTAATAAATTACCAAATTAAAGTGTTTGAGTACAATGATGCAGGTCTAATTAATTGAACTGGACAGGGAGAGACTGCTTTCTCCATCTAATCGTAATTTCTAACACAGTAACAAAGATTTTCATAATTTCCGTTTTTACAGAAAAGCCCAAATCTGCAGAGAAACTACAACCTGGGGGCTGACTTAATGCATAGATGGTTAAGGCCGAATCTTTGGGTTAAATCAAAACTGCAAACCATGGAAATGATGTTCTATTTCATCCCTACTGCTTGAAGCACCGTCTCTGGAGGTCATCCGGGATTCATAGAACCGTAGTTATGGTAGTAACTTTCGTTTTCAGGTAAAGTCTGGGTACAAATATTTGCATTTTTTATTTTAAAACCCTTTTTAAATGTCAAAATGAAAAGAGCAGAGCATGTTTTCTGTGAGTTACTCTTATCAAAATCTACAGGGAGGTAGAACTTGCTTAAAATTTAGTTTCATCAGTAAATCAGCTGATATGACAAAAAAGCTGATCTAAGAGAGGATGTTATGACAGCCTGATAGAAAGTGGCTGTATAAAGAAAATAAAAAATTAATTATATATTCATTAAAACCTTTTACAAAAAAAAGAAAACATTTTTTAGGGTTTACAAAAATCTTTATATCAAATTGGCAGCATTCTTAATCACTTTCAGCCATTTTTTTTTTTAAGTATAAACAGAAAATGGAAACATAGATGTATAAAAGGTATCATGGAGGATAATCTTTTTCCGGATGGATCATCAAAATAAGTGGTCATCGCAATTGTCAATCATTCTGGTGATATGTTCATGTAAGGCCCTCCTACGTGCTCATCCCCATTTTCACTTACAGGTGGGGAGTCTGACATAGAGGAAAAATTGCAAATCTTCTTTTTGAAAGTAAGTTTGTAAGAGTGATGCAAACAGCAACTCTTAAATAGAGCATGCACGAGGAGAAATGGGCTCGTGAATGCTGTCGCCTGCGTTTAACAGGCGTTCCCTCTCGGGAGCGGTACAGGGTTGTGCGTGTGCATTTTTTATTTTAAGTGGAGAGGACGGGTCTTTTCAAAAATTTGCGTAAATCCTCCACTATACCTTTAAGTAATTAAATCCATAGTGGTCATTGCTTTTAAGTATGGTAAATGCAAAAATATGTGACGGAAATAAAATCAGAAAAAGAACAAAATGTCTGCCTATGGGTTACATTTAGATGATGTTTTTATTTATTCATCTTGGATGATGGATGAATGGATGGATGGGTTGATGGATGGACCAAAATCCGGACCAGTTTATTTAATTCTGCTTTTTTTGTGATTATGTTTCATGACCTAAAATTTGAAAAAAAGAATTGATTGAACATTAGTGTGGTGGATGTAATCATCGGGGGACAGCTCACCTCCGCTGTCCGGGGAGCTGAGGACATTGAGGGCGAACAGCATGGCGTTGGAGAAGGTGGTGGCCTCCTCTTTACTGGCAAAGTTCAGCCCATAGACCTGCCGAGCGTCCCGCCACTGATGGAAGGTCGGGGTGGCCTGGTTGTACTTTAGACCCTTCACTATGGAGTAGTTAATAACAACCTTAGAAAAGAAGAGGGAGGTATATTAGGTCCATCTATAACACATTTAACCATAAAAGGTTAATAAAAACCTAAATATACAAAGATATGAAACTGAAAACAAAAGGCACAGCAAATAAAACTAATCCTACACAATAAAAGCAAATAAGAAAATCAAGCCAACCAATTGCAGAAAGAATCAAATAAATAGAGTAGGTCCAAGAACATAACCCTGTGGTATCTCCAAGGTAAATTAACCATTAAGACAGCTGCTGTATTTTTAAACATTTGAACACCTGACTGCTGTGTTCTGCTGGACAGTCATGGAGATAATGTCAGTGACCGTTCACCTGCTGGTCCTGGAGTTTGACCCCCACCACTCTGAAGGTGTTGTTGGCAGTGTTGTGGTAGATGTTAATGCGACTGAAGCCCTGCTGCCCCGGCTTGATGGGCACCCACTTCTTACTGGCATCATCGTAGACCATCACAGAGGCCCGCGCCTGGCAGATGCTCTGCTCACTGGAACAGAAAGAAGGAAGAGAGGGAAACAAATGGTTATGATAGAAGTACAGAACATTTATCTTATTCTCAGAAAACAGAAACATTACGATGAGATGCCGTCTTGATGCAGCAATAAAAGTCATATTATTGTGAAACGTCCTACTAATCTAAAGGATCCCCTGGATTAGCCCCACCTTCTGGTTTTTAACCACTTCAGGAGAAACGTCCAGCCTCTACAGGAATCTGCCAGCCTGTGATTATAGGGCAGGAATCCATTTATAAAAACTGTAATGAAGACCTCAGCCTAAAACCAAACCCTGGAGGGATTCCAGTTTCTGCAGCCGTGCACTCATATTAAGACATTTGAGCAAAGAAGGGTGTGTGTGCTGAGGATAAAGGAACATAAGGGGGTGGATCCTGAAGCATGCAACTACAGGGATTATCCTTTATTGTATCAGAAAACAGGATAAAGTCACAAACTGATGTTTGGCTTAAGTCATCACCAAGAACAGATATGATTGGACTGTGCAACATTTACGTCGCTGAAGGGAACCAATAGGGGCTGTTTTGATGACAAACATCACTTAAGAAGAACATGTAATTATTTAAATAAAACAAAACCACATCCAAACCGATCTCGCCCTTTCTGAAGAAGTAAACCCAAATGATAAGATGTGTCGATTACATGCCTGTTTAAGGTCACACTGCAGGGTCTTTTTGTTTAGAGTTTGACAGCCTCAAACATTTTTCAACACATCTTTCAGGGGTGGAGGTGCTGAAAATGATGAGCAGAAATTCTCCAAGTATTTTTTTTTTAGAGATCAGAATTTATGATTCCAATTTAGCAAATCTTCCAGGTTCTAAAGAAGCAATGCGGACTCAGACCATCACACTACGCCATGTTTCTCTGCAGGTACGATTTTACTTTCAAAAATGTAAAAAATTTTCAAAGATTTCAAAATTTTTACTTTCCAAAATTTCTATAAAATTCTAAGATTTTTGCAAAATGATCAAAATCTTCAAAAATACCAGACAGACAAGTTTAGTCTTGATTGTCTGATATTTTCCCCCAAAAGTCTAGGGGATATTGTTTTTGCAAATTGCAAAAATTTGCAAATTCTTTTTTTTTCCCCTGGAGTACAATCATTTAAACCATTAAAGTCTCTTCAATGTTGTTCCAACATGAACTTCACAAATGAAACATGTTTTCCTTTTCTAATATAAAAATGACTTTCATGAACTAAAGCAACAAACTATAAAAGAGAAAGAAAAAATAGAAATGTGAAAACGGGTAAATATATTTTGAAGCTTCACAGCCACCTGATATTCTTGTGGAACTTGATATGGAGACAACTCTACCAGAGGAGCTATTTCACACCAATGATGTGTTATAATTGATTGCTTTGTATGAAGATGGTGGCTGAGAGGGTCCAAAAACACCAAATGTAGTCCTCACCTTTCAGATTTTATTTATTTGTTTTTTTCCCAACTGTTACCTCATATTGGTGCCTCATCAGCCCAATGTCAGATCTGGTTCTCTCCTTCTATTGAAACTTTTCACTTTCTTCACAGCTTTAAACAACTCAGCAGAGATGATAAAGTTTTTTTGGCTTTATACAAATATAAAACAACTGGATGAAACCAAATTCTCCTTTACAGTCAGAAGCTTTCATCCCAGAATCTAATCATGATGAAATCCCAAAGCAAGAGAAGCTGGTTTGACACGTCAGCTCAGCTGCATACAGCTACAATGAAATATTAGCCCAATTTTTCCTAAAAAAAGATATTTAAAATTTTCAGAACAATTAGTCAAAATGTTCATCAATCTGCACTTAACAACAGCTGCTGTTTCCATAACAGCGATATCATGGGACAGAAGATAGAGATGTAACACAATAAAAATAGGGGAGGGCTAGCTTTAAAAGAAAAGAAAAAAACGATTGTACAAGTAAATCCTATTAAGAAGCCCCTAAAACACAAAATTAGATATTAAAACACGGCCAATTGAGCTTTATTAAAGTTATTTTCTTAAAAAAAGAAAACTATTCATTAGACAAAAAGGGATTCATTTCCAGATTTTTTTCCTATGGCTTTCTATTGTTATGACCTACAGATAATTATAGCAAAAAACATTTTCAGAAACAACCGGATGTTTTACTGGATGTTATAAACAGAAATGTTGCCAAAGACACAGTCAATAAACCCTCAATAGGAGGCTAAACCATAAAAGATAAGTTCTAAAGAAGCCCGCTGAACAGAGTGCTGTATCCAAGCATAATAAAGGAAAGTTAAGTGGAAGAAAAAGGTTTAAGACTGGAAAAATGGGCAGCAACCTTTAGAAGATTGTAGATCAAACAAAGCAATATCTCAGCAGAGCCACAAGCTAAACACCATGCTATGCAGCATTGCTGCAGCAATACCTGCACTAGAAGCACCGATCATATACTGAGTTCTTACACTGTATATCATACAGGCATAGCTCTCATTAGTCCAAGATTCCTGTATTAAAAATATCCCCTATGAAATCAAAAACATTCAAGTCAACATAAACACTTGTAATATATAACACAGCTTTGTGATGAGATTTCAGCTGGATGAAATGCACCTTTAAATATGTTTTTTTTCGTTTATCAGGTTTGAGGACGATCTACAGTTATTCCTATAAAAAAGACTTTATCCCCCAGAAAACCTTCTAAAGTTGAAAATAATGAGAAATCACTGGCAAGCCTTTAAACCTACATTCCTCTGTGGTGAATGTTAAAACAATGTGGGATAGCTGCATATTTTGTGCTTCCTGCATGTCTGAATGTGTCTAACAGAGTCTCTAATCAAATAACAAACATTTTCCTCCACTTCAGAGACTCATCAGACCACCAGAGTCTAACTGGAAGCGTGAAGGGAGGGGTGCAGGGAGGTGTCCGAGTTTCTCCTTACAAAAACAGCTCCTATTTCTGGAGCGCTTTAAACTACCGAGCTGGACGCCTTGAGCTGAGGGATGATGTGGAAACTCACAAAGTCTCTTGTGTAGTTCTGATTTGTTTGTTGCTCAATCTTGAGGAGCAAAGCAGAAAAAGGGGAAAAGAAAAAAAAATCTAAGCGCAAGAACGAAATACCAGTCTAAAGTTTTAGAACATCCAAATTTTCCACTTATTCATTGCAACTTATGTCTAATGGCTAAAGGTTAGTGCTGAACTGGAAAACTGAAAAAAGGAATGTGCATTTAAGAATTATACGAAAAACTCTCTCCAGGAAAATTCTCCCTTTTTAAAAGTGGGAATCCAGAAATGCCTTACATATCAGACACTGGGCCAACTCCAACACATCATACTGGAAAAACATTCATTGATCCACCGCCTTCAATCAAACCAGAGACCCTTTCTAAAAATGATTCAATCTACATTAAAGGCCTGGATCACAAAACAGATCTAGATAGAAATATAATTTATTATGTCAACATTCCAATTAACATTGCTAAAGATCATTTTAGTGATGATGATAATAAGATTATTATTATTGCCAATAGGGCTGAAACAGTTAATCGAATTAATCGATTATTGAAATAATCTACTAATTTAGCAATTGATTGTTAACTGGAATATGTAGACTCTACAACATACCTTTAGCTGACAGAACAACCCATTTAGAGCAATAATTATATCAAAAAAGTAAAAAAATATAAAAACATTTTGCATCTAAACTAAAAAAAAAAAAACTTTGTCTCCTCAAGTGGAAAAGTTTTAGTTTCACCTGGTTTAATTTAATAAAAAATCTCCTTTAAGGAACGTTTGGTTGATTATTAATCTATTAATCGAAAAAATTATCGACAGATTAATCAATTTGCAAAATAACCGTTAGATGTAGCCCTAATTGCCATAAACTTCTGACGGGTTGAGCGGCTGTGGTTGCGACCTGACAACCCTCATGGTGCGCTAATTGTCAGATTAATTGTCTGACTGCTTGATAGTGGCGCGACCCAAGTGGAGTTAAAAAAAAAATCTATAAAAAACAGAAAATCTACAAAAACACATATAACGTAGCGAGGCTCCAGGGTCCTGGGCATCCCCTGGCCAGGTCAGTTTTTGTGGCGGTGCTTCTGCTCGGATACTGTCCTGGAGTGGGAGTAACGGTGCTCCCTGAGGTCAGTTTTAATTGCATTTCACTATATTAGCTAACACAAAAAAACCCCCCCACAAAACACACAGGTTGGTCTAGGGCTCTATGGAGTCGATGGGGCGTCTGTGTGGGAGCAACATCCACTCTGGCTAATGAATCCGGCCTTTAAGGGTTTCAGCTGGCTAATAATGATTATTATAATTTCTTTTATGTTAATATTAATAAGACTATTAATACTATTATACCAATCATTACCACTACATAATTTTATTTAAATTAGGAACAAAGCATGTTTTTTATAAGAATCTTCTGATCACTGTTTTTTTCTTTTCGACAGACATTTTTTATTGCTTCATTTTTTATTTTAATATGATATATTTACCTGTACATTCATGTATCTGTTTTTGTTTATTTTAGTTTTTTTTTTCTGCATCCATAATTGTTTGAAATCTTTTGATTGCTTACAACCCTTCTGCATATATAAATATGTTTGGACACATCATGGTACCGCACCCTCATGGTCGAATGGTTATTATTATGCAGAAAGTTTGCTGCTTCAAAAAAAGATGATAAAAAGGCAAACAGCATAAAGTGCTATAGTGCTTCCTATAGGGAAGTGGTAAAGAAAGTAGAGTTTTCTTCATTATAAAGATTGACTCAGATTCTCCTACAGAAAGAGGTCTGACAGACCTGCAGCCACATCTGAATTGGAGGACAAGTTTCTGAGAGTTAACAGTTTTCATGATAGGCGATCGCCAGGACAACAGCTCCAATCAAAGCTTATTAGAAGGAAATGAGTCGGAGTATCAGCTGTGAAGACAAGACGTCAAGCTGCAGGTTTGAGAGGAAAAGTTGCAGCACGAAAGTCATTGCTAAGGCATCAGGCAAATAGGCTGAGCAATGAA